GATTATAATGGCTGCAGAATGTCTTAGAAACAGATGCTGTCTAAAGTCTTGCACTCTCCTAATTTTTTGCCTTTATTAGTTTTTCCTGTTATTAAAAGCAAAAGAGAGAAGAAAATTTCAAGATTGTATTTACCTTATGTTCAGGTATTCACAGAAAAAAAAGTAGTCTAACTTTTGATATGGGAAAATACTGTGGCTTGAAAATAACACCTGTTTTAAGGTAAGCATTATTTTATTGGTATTTTAGTGGTAAAATAATGCAGGTAAAGTTGAACTCTTAATTGCACGATTCTTTGCTTAGGAGTATGGTAGCAACAGAGTATGTGGTGGGGTTTCTGTACAAATCTGGAGTTCTAAACACTGGACACATTTTACTGCAGTGTATGAAACACTGAACAGCTGGATGAAATTACTGTGGATAGTTAAGAGCAACTTTTCTTTGTAAGTCTTCCTACTTATACAAAGGCTAGGATTAGTTCTGTTATGTTTTACTTACAAAAATGTAAAAAGCAATACAACTATTAACTAGTTAAATGTTTGTATACAACGTTTATATAAACATATGTGCACATGAGAGCGTCCTGGGTACAGAAACAGAATGTATTACAGGATGGCTCTATCCAGGGGCTTTGAAAAAGTGTCTTGGTGGGACTTACAACACCTTTCTCTCTGTAGTCTGCTCTGAAGCAGAACAATTTTGGTGACCCTTTTTGTTTCCAAGCCATCAGTCGAACCTGAGAGCATTACAAGTGGTTTTAGCGGGGAGTGTAATGAGTATCCTGTCATTGATGTACTCATTTTCGAGGCTAGATTCCCAGTCCTCCAGCATGGGTCCTTCTCTCACACATCCTCTACAACGACAACGTTTGGGTAGGGTGTTTTTGTAGGGCACAGGCATGTGACTGGGGTCATGACTGTTGCAGCTCCCGGGCACCAGCCAAGGTCAACGTTGTTGTGCTTGGTACACCTCACAAGGCTGCACGTTGATAGTGTGCAAAAAGCTTAATGAATCATAGAATAATTTCTGTTGGAAGGGACCTTAAAGCTCATCCAGCTCCAACCCCCTGCCACGGGCCGGGACACCTTCCACTAGAGCAGGTTTCTCCAAGCCGGCCCTGAACACTGCCAGGGATGGGGCAGCCACGGTTTCTCTGGGCACCCTGTGCCAGGGCCTCACCACCCTCACAGTGAACAATTTCTTCCCAATGCCTAGTCTAAATCCCCCCTCTCTGAGTCGCGCTCCAACAGCACCAATGCTCGGAGCTGCCCCCGCCCTCTGCCCAGCGCGGCAGGTCTTGCGATGCCAAACACGGGAGTTTCCCGCTGAATCTCAACCTTGCCCCGCTTTCAGCCCCTGGAAAGGGAGTCAGCTGGGCTGCGTTGGCCCGGAACGAAACGGAGCCCCCTCCTGCCCAAACGGACCGCACCAAGCAGCGGCAGCCACAGCAGCAGCGCCGGGGGAGGGGAGCCCGAGCAGCGCGCACACACACACCCCCTCCTTCTCCCCCCCCGCGTTCCTCAGAAGCACCTGCGGGGCAGGCGGGCGGCGGTTCGGCCCAGTGCGGAACGGAGCTCAGCTCGGCCCGGGGAGGACTCACCGAAGTCAAGGAACTGCTTCATGGAGAGCGGCGACGGGGAAAAGCGCGAGTAGAAGTCCACCTGCTGCGGTATGCTGCCCGAGGAGGCGCTGCGCAGCAAGGCGCGCAGCAGCCTCATGGCGCGGTCTCGTCTCACCTCAGCCTGTCCCGGCCGCCATTTCCCGCCACGCCAGCTCCCCCGGCCCCTGCCCAGGCCGCGGCCTCCTTCTGCGGCGTTACCGGGAGGAGGTGCCCGAAGGCGTGGGTGTCTCCTCACGGCCCAGCCCCACGCAGCGGCGATGGGGCGGAGGAGAGGGCGGCTCCGAGGGAGTGGGGGGGCGGTGCCGAGAGCACCTCTGGCCACGCGGGCGGAGTAGCAGCCGCCGGAGCGGCCGTGGTGCCCGGGCTGCGTGCGTAAGGAGGCGGCGGTTGCTCCGTGCAAGCGAGAGCCCAGCCTCTAGCAGGTGCGGTGGTGGTACGGGGCCGCCGCTGCCGCCGTCCCCGCGTCGGGCTGCGGGGCGTTCACGGGGCGGGAAGCCGTGAGGGGACCGGAGGCAGCGGTTTCTTTAGCGAGGCCGAACGGTGCCCTGTGTCTGCTACTCCCTGTGGAAGGGCTATCCTAGAGGTTGGCCCGCGCGGTAAACGGCGGGCTCGGGCCGGGGGAACGGGTGGGGGGCTGCCGCTGCCCCTCGCCGCTGTCCGGGGCGGGCGGGGGCCGCCTTTGTGGCGGCGGGGACCCGCGGGGCTGCGAGGGAAGGTTGCGGAAACCCCCAGAAGTAGCGGCTTTGTTAGCACCGCTGCCGGCCGGCGTGAGGGCAGCGCCTCACCTGCGGGGTTCCAGCCGTGGTTCAACTGCCGTGTGCGTGTCGGCTTGGCGGCGGGATGGTTTGCAAAGGGGCACCGCGGGCTCTGGAGTCCCTTCGTTGGATTGCAGCGTGCGGGTGGTAGAAAGGAGGGGAGGGATAATGTGTCTCTTAAAAGAGAAACAGAAAAATACAGGGGAAAAATAGGGCCTCCGTCTGCACAGATATACTCCTGATCGCTCAGCTAGCACAATACATGGCTTTATTGGTTAAAGAGTACTTGAATCGTATGTCACACTATATCAATTGGCTGTTAGGATGCAGTATGTGAGGTACTAAACAGTGGTATTTAATAGTTTCTTGAGCTGTTCAGGTAGAAATATCTAGAACGTTAAAAAAAAAGGCAGTTAAGAGTGATTATAAGCGTCCTGCAGTGTAGATACTGAATTCTGTAATCCAAATTGTATACGATGCGGTACGATAGAAGATCTGGTTCTATATAATTTGCTGCTTTTATTGTGGATCCCTGTATTTGACCCATAAGTTTATCATATGAAGTCAACTCTTACATGTTGCTTGATTTCCTTTAAATGTGTCTTGTACCTGTGAGTTGTCCATGACCTGACAGGATAGATGGTCTCCACTAGAGTGGGAACTGCTTGCTGTTTCTGGCACATTGATCTGTTCAGCCCTCTGTTGGCTTGTTTGGAGCCTCCCATTAGATGAAGATACCATAATGAATTCAGGTGCTGGGTTTGTTGTTCAGGGGTTGGGGTTTTTTTTACTGTTGCATTGAAATACAGAAAACATTGGTCTAGTCTGCCTCCAGTGACTGTGTCCAAGTGAAGCAGTAGTTTAGTATTGGACTGCTTCATCTGGTCTGTAAAGAGGCTATACCTCCATCTTGTGCCATGAAATTAAGGGCTTGTTCTGTTCTGGCTGGGGAATGGTGGCTAGTGGGGTGAACCAACAGCTTATCTGTCTCTGGAAGTCTTCTACACAGTACAGGTTACTGACAGGTTTTGCTGTATTGCTGCTTGTAGGTCACCCCAGAAGCACCAAACAGTAATTTGAGTTTTGTAGTTGAGACTCTACTTACAAATTGCTGTGCTTTAAAACCATTTTATAATGGCCTCTCAGTTGTGAACCAGCACTAGTTTAAAACAGTGCCTACAAGCAGTAGGTTGGGTATTTGTAAGTTGTTGCAATTTCTTATGATGGCTCTGAGTTGGCTTCATCTTTAATGCCTGTATGTTACTGTCCTGATGCCTGATGTTTCAGCTTAACAGCCTACCTTAAAAAGTGGCCTACTGCCTGAAGTTACGTTTGGGTATCAGTCCCCAAGCAGAAGATGTAGCAAGGGCTGTCAGAGGCTAAATAAAGCATTGCGCTTTGTAAGACCATTCTCAATAATGTAAACAGTGAGCACTTTTCTCAGGGAAAATCATGCTGGGTGAGCAGTAACTGTGGACAAGGAATTGTGGATATTTATTTAAATTATGTGTTCAGAGCAGTACAAACCTCTGTTTACCCAAAGGCATTGTCTTGGTCTTGTTCAAACTACTGATCAGAGACTGATCCATGTAAACTCTGATCTGATCCAGTGTGACATGAGCTGGAGCTCTGATGTGCCAAAGTCTGTAAAATCTTACACAAGCAAAAAAGGAGAAATGCATTATTTTTGTCATCTGGCATTTTTCTGTTCATAGCCCTGCTTATTGGTGTTCCTGAAATTATATTTGGATCCATAATTTAAATGGGACAGAACAAATTAGACTGTAAGATAATTGAAAGCAGTTAATTTGAGTCTAAGCATTACAATTTTAATTTTTAAATTATTTTTGGTTTTCAGTGTAAGCTTTCATAAGGCAGTTGGAAGCACTCTTGCAGGGTATGTCAGAAGGAGCTGTTGGTTTGTTAAGGCAATACTATAAATAGGCCCTTACTGGAAGTCACTGTTCTTGGTTGTTTCATGTACTGGTACTTATCTCTTTTCCTCCCTTTCCTCCAAAATGGGCACATCATAGGTAAAGAAAAAACCTTAAATATGGATATCCATAGAATATCTTTTTTTCTCTTTCAGTGGTTTATACGCCTTGCTATGGTGTCTTCAGAGTCACCTGGTTGTCCTGTCCATGTCTCTCTTCTGCTTGTGTATTTAATCTGCACAAAGGCTTGTCATTATTATTCTTAGGGGTTTGATATGCTAGAAAATTCTTAGGATTGGCTTGATGTGGCTTTGGTATCCTTTTTTAGGAATAGAAATAAAAAGATACCAAAATGGCAGCAAAGTTGGTCAGAAATATAAAGGGGTTTCTGTATCAGTTATCAAACTGTAGTAGATTCAAGAACATATGTATGGGGTCATCTATTTTAATTTGATATATAGCAGAACTTTGGAGTTTGTGAATTCTTGCCGTGCTCAACTTTGTGACTGAAGACCAGAAGGCAGTTGGAGAAATTTTATGATTATCATGGATGACTTCTTCCATAGGACAACTACACTACATAGCTACTGAAGTTGAGCACTAATGTTCTGTGGGAACAGGAACAGCACAGTGTCACCATCATGCTGCTTAACTCTTGGCCGTCATCAGTCAGGATGCTGATTCAGGTGGGTCTGTGGACTAGTCCAGGATGGCAATTTTTATGCTGTTTCTCCCTGCTAAGCTTGGAATCAGCCACAGGCTTGTCTCGTAAGCCTTTGGCAATGATAACATTTCTCAGATGTGTTAGCTGTTGGTCTCCTCCACTGCAAGAAACCAAGCAATACTCCACAAGCATTTCTTTTAATCCTCTTAGCAGTTGTGCATTATTTCATACGCTCCTGGCAAAAGTAGTTGACTTTTCTGTCCCTTCCTCCCCTATCCCCTGAAGACACTGGAAGAGGTGAGGAGGAAATAAGTAGTTAATGCTGTGTATCAGTGGTAAGAGGGGCTATATGTTTTTCTGCAGTAGGTAAGCAGCAGCAAGGACATCTCAGAGCTAGAAAATTAAGGAGGAACAGGATCTAGCTTTGAGTGTGGAAAACGCAAATGGCAGGCCCTGTACAGGAACAGCATCACACCCTGACTGGGGCATTAAGGCAGATTTCTGTGGCAGTTTTTCAAGGTAAGCAATTGCTGTGTTTTTCTCACCAGGATCATGGTTAGGACTCCAGCAAGGCTATGAGGAGGTTATAAAAGGTGTATAGTTTTAATTACAAATCCACAACCAGGGGAGACAAATGGACATCTAAAGATGACCAAGAACTGGCATAAAAACTGAAGGAAGTGCTTATGCAGCAGCACCACCCACATTCTTCTTGTCACCACGAGTGCATTGCTTGGCAAGTTGACATGTACATGTGCCTGTTCTGGCTTAGAGCACCACCAGGTTGTTTCATCACAGTTTGTTCTCCCGGGTTTTGCAAACCGGCTGCTGACACTGTCCTGTTGCCTACTCTGTGCTGGGAGAAGTTATTTCAGCTGGTTGTATCTAAGCAGACTTCTGGTTCTGTGTAGTCTCTTCATTTTAGTTAAGACACACTGCTGCAGAGACAGCATTGTAAGGTGGGTGTTTCAACTGGGGATTGGTGTTCTGGTGCTGCTTCCAAAAGCTGCTCTTCACATTATGTGCTGATTTTGTGTACAGGCACCCTGTTCTGTCTCCTCTTCCACATATAACTTAACTTCTGCAAGAGGCAATGACTGAAATGATGCTGTGATAGTCCCTTCTTACTGAAAGCTTCTCTTATAAGGTATGGGTCCTGTGCTGTGACAAATATACGTGAAGATACTGTAATTTATATGGCTCTATTTAGGCTATGTAGTGTGTTTATTTTATATATAGATTTATACATACACACTACTACACACAAACACAAGCACTAAGTAAATATATAGTACTTTTTATGTATGTATATGTATACAATGTGCATACAATTACCTATACAGTACTGTACTACTCTGTATGTAGTATATACTACATCTAGTACTATATAGCATATATAAAATCTAATATACTATATTTGTGCTGCACTTCCTCTTATCAGCTACTTAGCTGTTCTCCCAGCAAAGGCGAGCCAAGCATCCTCTGAGGGTTAGTGTCTTAAAAATGGAGATAAACCGAAGGTTTCCTGTGTTGTTTTTCTGCATCTTTTTGGCTTTCCTGGTTTTGGGGCCAGGGAGTGTCTTTGTTTTGGAGGGTGTTTTTGGTGGAGTTGAAGCTGTATCCTGCAATCATGTAACTATCAGTATCAAACTTCCACTGCTAATTACAGCTAGGTATGTGAAGTCCTTGACTAATTTTGGGGGATGCATCTATCTTTCCTAGTTACAGAAACACCTGTCTGGCCAGGGAGCTTTTAGAAGACCACATGCATTCTAAGTACCCTGGGCAGCAGAGGTGAAGTGTGGAGAGAGGAGAGAGGAGGGGGTAGCTCTGCCCTATGGGAGCTGACACTTGGTGCTTTACCAGAGCCTGCTTTATCCTAATGCTGGGAACTACAGCAGCCAGCAGGGAGTCTGTGAGCAAGAGATTGTGTGTTATCTCCTGCAGTTGCCTTATCTGACCTTTGCATGGGGGAGGACTCCCACAGTCATGGCAGTATTGAGCGTGAGACAGTTTGTTACAGCTTGCAGCTTCCACCTTACTCTTCTAGTGAACTTGGCTATGGCTACCTCAGATAATTATGGTAAGAAATCACTACTACCAAAACCAATGTTTCATTAAAAAAAAAAGAGATTTTATTTCACACTTCTATACAAATATCCACAGGTAATTTTGAATGTAGCATTGCTACCTGGTACAAGAAAAGTTTGAGAGAAATGTATACCAGTGACAGGACTTACTTTTCAAGAATTTGCAGTTTAACGCTGCTAAAATGTTCATGTTCATAGGTGAGGGACACAACCTGCTTTTAAATCCAAGGCTGTTTGTCAGGCTTAGCTCTGACTAGCCTGGCTTCTGATGCTGCTGAGTCTTTCAGCAAATAAGCTAGAATTGTAAAAGCTCAAAAACCAGGTAACAGATAAATACACATGTAAGTGTTCATAATGTCACAACATACTGAGATTATCTAATGGAAGGAAGAAGAGTCTTAAATTAATGCACTTTTTCTAATAACTTTTTAGGTGACCACACCTTAAAGAAGGTACATTCAAAGTTAGTAGTAAAAATAAGACACTTGACAGCTGCCCTCCTAGCAGGTTTTTACCCTATGAGGGGAAAAAGTACCAAGAGGTTTTTGCATAGTTCAAATTACTAGCACTTAACATGCATACTTTTTGAGCAGAATTCTGTTTCACATGGAATAAACAACTGTGAACTGAATCTTTGTTCTTAAATAGTACCAAAGCTTTAGAACATGGGTAAAAAACTAAACTCTTTAAATAGTTTTAGCAGTTATGTTACAATAACTAGATTACTGATAAACACAACATTGTGGTTCTACTTTTATCAACATTCAGGTATTCAAGACAATTCAGTAGTCTCAACATGGATCAGCTCAGATCCCATTAGTTAAGGTAAGTTGGGCATGTAGAGCCTCCTTCAAGTGCTGTGTGACAGCTGCAGTAGTCAATGCCTTGGCCAAACAGGAATTTCTTATGAAGCCGGAAAGCTGTTTCCAGAGAAACTCTCATTTGCAGGAAGTATAAAACTGTATCTAAAACCCTTTCTTCTGCTTGGTGTCCAAACTGTTCAATAGTCTGAAGTAATATACAGATCATGTTACAAGACCTGATGATTCCTATTACATAAAGTTACATGTATCACAAAAAAGCCCCCATACACATCACTGGAATAAATATTTACAATTTTGGAAAGCATTGGCACCTTCAGTGACTTAATAAAATGCAGTGATAGCCTCAGGTCTCATAATCTGAAGTTCAAAAACACAGTGGACTTGAAAGTTCAGTTAAGTCTTTGGCCTAACAGTTAGTCAAAGACAATGATTTATAACAAAAATAAATACAAAAATGACTAAAATTTGTATATACAAAAAGTACATCTAATACTCAAGCCTCTCTTAAAAAAAAACAAAATAAAAACTCAAGAAAAAAAACAACAAACAACAAAATAAACCTGTGTGTATTTGTTGTGACCAAGAGTCACACAATTCGAGCAAAATGACCTATTGCACATGTAATTTAAAGACGATGCTTTTTGTTAAGCCCTAACTACTGCAGTAGGCAAAGTTTAAAGTAGATTGGCAGGTCTTCAAAGTGTACTTGCACAAGGTGTGTTAAGGCAGCTGTGTGTTTATAATGGACTATGCATTGAGGGAAGGATGAAGAACTTATCTTGACCTTAACTGTCCATTCCTTGGATCCCTAGGAAAGAGATTATGATCACAGGAAGAGGTCTGCAGTAGTGGTTTTGCATATGTTGCAGAAAAGACCCCAAATCAACACAACATCTTCTGAAGTGAGAGTTAGATTTGAAGGGGGGAAAGAGGCAGTCTGGAAATTAAATAATGCAAGTCAAGTCTTTTGAAGCAATGTTAACTGTGCAAACAAAAGCCTCAATATAAGTAGTAATATCTACAATCAAATGGTGAATGTCAATAGTGTTCATAGATCTAACTCCATCAATATTCTATTAATAAAACTTTAACTTCTCTCTGAACTTTGTGATGAGAAGAATTTTTCACTAAGAATAACTTTCATTTTCATTCCATTTTGTGAACCACTGTTTTGTCTCGAGCTCTTTGTATTTCCCATCTTTGATGTGTCGCTCTTCTTTTCGAATTCTTACAGCATGATACCGGGGGACACTGTCTTCGTACCTGGAACGCTGGAAGAACCCGCACTACAGCAGAGAAGGAAAAGAACAGATTAGATTAAAGTTGCTGGCAAAGTACTATGATTACAGAGATAAGTTCTGCACAGGTAAGAAAATTGAACACAATTACAGATATAGTTCGGGAAAGCTTGCTTCTCCTGAATCAAAGGTGGTATTGTCTTGTACAGTGGTGTATTTTAAAGACAAACACAGATTTCCAGGACCTTCAAGAAAAGTTACATGAGGGCCTTGTTTTTCAAAGCATCATCTCAACTACAGTCACCTGAATTAACTATCCATACACAGTATTAGAAAGTGGCTCTTGCTGAGTTTGCCATAGGATAAAAAAAAACAACAAAAAAAAAAAGACATAATTGGAAAGTTCTGTAATGTGCCATGACACAAGTCTCCCTACATGAAACCTAGTGCAGTTTTTGTGCCCTGCAAGTTCTTATTCAAAGCCACTGTAAAATGATTTTAAATATTGATGAATAGATTAAAATTAATTTTCAAAACAAAATGGAGTTATGGCCACAGAGTTCCAAAGATGATGATGGGTAGATACTGAACTTCACATGCTCAGAGGTCACTGATGTCAAGGTTAAGAGACATTGTACCATCCAGCTGTCATTAGGTAATGCTAGAGGGAAAAATATTAAAGCGGTTTTGTTCACAGTATTTGTGGTGCTGGGGTTTTTCTTTTTGTCTGGTTGTTGCTCAGTTTTTGTTGTGGGGTGTTGGTTTTTTGTGTTTTTTTTTTTGTTGCCGTTTTGTGTTTTGTTTTTTTTAAAAAAAATACTAGAACTTACATGGGACTGAATTTAAAAAACTGCACCGAGACATAGGCTAAATCTTTAGCCACTGCTTAGTTAAGATTTCATTAAACGTTTATATGACATATTCTAGTTAATTACTCCTCCCCATTCCTTCATCCCAAGCATCACTTATTAATATAGTGTACATGCATGTAATATCTCAAGTTGAATAAAGGTTGCTAGGAGCATAAACTACCATGCATCTAGTAGCTTCAGCAGAAGAAAGCGTGCTCCTAGAAAAGCGTACCTTAGAATTGAAGAAAAACAGATGTTTCCACAGCAATTCTCATTATGAAAACCCTTTTCTTTATAAGCAACATGTACCTATTAGCATGCATTAAAGATTAGTAAAGCAAGTTTATCTGTTGTCCACAGTCTTAGCTTTGTATCTCAACTCTGCAGTGCTGATTACCATCTCTCAAACTTAAAAAACTTATGTGTACTGCCAAAACATAAATTAAAAAAAAGACTAAAAAACACTGCAAGAAATCAACATTTGCTAAAGAAATAAACAAGAAGCTTTTTAGACCAAGGTAAACGCCTGTGTGTGTGTTCACGTGCACCAAAAGCGAAAAATCTATCAAGAGAATGAGCAAGCAAGTATGATAGTTTGAAATCCAAAAGTTAATAGAACGTATGCAATAAAAGCTCCATAGTTAGCCACCGCAACAACCAGAGCATGTGCCACAGTTAAACATTAAAAAATACCATCAATTACCAATTACAGAAGTAGATCAATACTATGCATCAGAAGTAAGCCTCTCTTTATCAGATGGCTGAGCATGGATCTCAGCCTTGTGATATGTGGCATCGTAATGATCTTTCTTATTTCTCTTGAAGAAACCACACTACAAGGAAGCAAGGTATTTAGTCAATTTTTGTGGACTGGAAGAAGTCAAACCTGTTAAAACTGACTTAAATTACCTCTGAACTGTCTTCCCATTATCCCTTTGCAGTCCTCTCCCCAACCCCTCCAGAAGAAAAAAAAATAAATCATAAGGTCTAGCAGCTTCTAGATCTGAGAACTTCTTCGACTAAACTCAATCTGTAGAACAACAGAATAACCTGAGGTAAAAATATACTGGTTTAGAAGCACTTTGTTAAATTTATAATGCAGCTGTTGTTTGTGTTCGGTTGGTTGTTTCGTCTTTAAGAAAAACTACTATAAAGTAGGTCCACAGCTGGCAGTGAAGAAGGGAAGTCTATACTGAAATATGTTTGTGGACTACTGCACAGGAAATCAGAACTATCCTGTGAGAAGTAACTTGCAACAAATAGGAGCTCCTCAGTAAAGCTAATTGCTGCAGTTTCTAAGGAAGAAAGTAAGTGACAGATAGAAGAGGTGAAAAAGAATATCCTAAGTAACCTTGTGCTGTCCTGTAACAGCACATACTAACTGCCTATGTCTCTTAAAAACTAAAAGGACTGCCCTGTTATACTTGGAACCACAACTGGTTGTAAAAATGCCAAAGGTAGTTGAAAAATAGGTACTTAACTTTTTATTTTACAAATCGCCTTTTGTGATACTGTCAGTTTAATGGCATTTCTAATGCTACTGGGAACAAAGCCCTGCTAAAACATTTGTAAGTAATTCACATGAAATTTTACACCTAACTGCAGAAGCTCCCATTAGCAGTATCCGTCCACATCAAAGTAAATATAGGCTCTGATTCAAGTTTTGCACAGAGCTCAAAATACTTCATCTTGTGAGGATGTGGAAGCTGAAAAATTTTGTAACAAGTCTTCCTATGTAACCATTTTAATTCCAAATGTTGCAAAACTGAGACTCAAAGGCAGTGTATGGTTTGGGCAGTTTGCTCTATTTTGAGACCCAAATACAAATTTAATAATTTGCTTAATTATTATGCTGTCTTGTCAGTTGTAGACCAGGAAATATAACCAGATGAATAAGAACTCACCTTCCATAGTAAGAATACCAACAGCGCAAGCATCAATATGCCAGCAAAAATAGCCACTGCGATGATCCACCAAGGTACTCCTGTATAAAGGGCTACTGGTTTTGCAGGAAAGACAGTAACACGCACCTAAAGGAGAGAAATGCATCAAGATGGAAAGAGCATGTCAGAAGGGTCCACGTTTAATACACTGTTACAGTTTATATAGTCTTATCTCTAACAAGATGCCTTCTCTCTCTCACCTGCAAAATGTTTTTGAAGAAAAAGTTCCTGCTGGTGTTATTTAAATATGGTAGTGAACTTATCCAACCCAAAACAAGGTAAAAACGATAGATAATTTAAAAATTAAGAAGTTAAGCTTTTAGCTACTTTTAAAATGGGGGGGGTTTCTGGTGGGTTTTCTTTGGTTGGCTCAGTGGTGGTTGTTATATGCAATTTTGTTTGGTTTGGGTTTTCACCCCCCCCCAACTTTTGATTTAAGCTGGAAACATCACAACCACAACGTATGGTCAGCATTAAATGTTGAACGTACCTGAGCAACTTCATTTGTGAGCTTAACATTCTTAGCTGCAGCAGGAACACTGATTGAAGCCCGAACAAGAATGTCTAGATAATTCATCTTGGAGTATTCCTGTTACAAAATAAAATACAGAAATTAGACACAGAACAGGAAACAGCTGTGACCTTCCAGAAAGGGCACATAAGGGGACTTACTTCTAAGAAAGTACTATTCCACAGCCTGGAACGTAGCACTATAGATGCCTTGCTGTCTAAACCCTTCAGGGGACATTTTATGTCCACACAGCGTGCATTCACATTGCAGTCCTGCAATTATAAATTTATATACGTAAATAAAAACATATCCTTGCAAACTGTTTAACCCCGAGATTAAAAATTGGATTATATACAGCATATTTATATGCAGGAACCAAACTCCATTTGCACTGACAGCAACCGGAAAACACAATAAAGATGCAATTACCTATTTATTTTAATATAGGTAACTATGCAGAAATTATTCCCATTTTTCTCTCATGAGCAAATAATGTAAATGGGGAAATTTTAAAAGAACTGATACTTGGATTTAAGACAAAAGCAAAGCAGTACCTTCTTTCACCCTGGGAAACTCAGAAAAGCCCTCTTAAAAGTGCAGAGAGTGGTATCTGACAAGACTACATTGGAGCAATATGCTTACCAAGGTCTTGTATTTTCTTTCTGAGAATAAAGAAAGTGTTTTGCTGTCTGTAGTCTGCTTCTCTGCAACTTCACGTTTCCTTCTTGAGTTATGGGATTCCTAAAAGAAGTAAAAATTTTTAGTATTTTATCTACCATAGGCATCTCTTAATGCTGACCCCATACAACCAGAGAAACAAGTCCTGTGAGTATTTTCTTGTTCCAAGATCAGCATAAGTGACATCATTATATATCCCCACTTACCCACATTTATTGCTAATAGTAGAGTCAGGACAACTACTAGAATTTGAGATTACCTAGAGAGGTCAACTGATTACTTTCTTTAATAGGTCAAGGGTTTAGAGTTATAAAGCTTTTGATGTTACTTCAATGTTCTGTATAAAGAGTATTAATGTTACTATGCTAAAAGAGTAAGATTCTGCTAGAGGCAGTAGATGATTTAACTGTTTATTAATTACATTCACAATGAAAGTTCATTAACTGATGAAGTGATCTGACCAGAATGGGCTTACGTGCATGCATTTTTAATGGTGGAAATTGGGAAATTGGAACTCCTCCAAAATGATCTTAAGATTGGGGGGGGGGGGAGAAAATCACATCTAGATATAGCACTTCAGTGTGCCTGACACTTGGTTGAGAAATTTTTTCTTATTTGTTATAAATAAGGAAATTTAAATGCAAGTTGGTTTCTTTCTTGTTAATAAAAGCACATGGAATTCCCCTGGGCTGCGGGGGGGGGGGATGTTTACATTTATTGTGAACAGATTTCAATAATGCTGATGAAATCTGTGAAAGCAATCAGTGATTGTATCCTGTAAGAGCTTATGACAGCAGTGCCCATCGCAAAAACAGCCACTGTGATGACAGATTATCATTCCTTAAGCACATTATCCTCATTAGCTGAGGTCTCTAATAAGCTAAACCCTTGATACAGTGTTCATGTATTGCGCTTGTGAGCTGCTTAAGACAAACAAAAAACCCTTCTGGAGGCAAGTTCTTATGCCCTACTGCCACATGCTGCACTGCTTTCATGTTTCACTAATTCATGAAGAGAAGACATAGAGGGTAACATACCACAACACGCAGACTATTGATTTCACTTTCAGGTTGACAGGAGACTTTTTCCAATCCTTTGGAATCTATTTTCATCAAATAAAGCAGCCACTTGCCATTACTGATTTC